ACACGAATCGAAGAGTTTGGAGGCCGAGAGGAGGAGAAGAAAGAAGCTTAATGATCGGCTATACTCTCTTCGTGCTTTGGTCCCTAATATTACCAAGGCAATTATAAGCTTAACCATATGTTATATAGTTGAATCGTATTGTTCTATTAAAGTCTTTTAGTCAAATTTAATTTCTTGAATTCAACTTTTTTACTTTGTCTATGCAGCTAGATAAAGCTGCTATTCTTGAAGATGCGGTTAATTACGTCAAGGAGCTGCAAAAGCAAGTAAAGGATATGGAGATTGAACTCGATGAAGAAAGTGACGAGAATAGTACATTAATGGTAAGAAATAGTGGCAATGACGAGACTCAAGATTCAAAGGAGATGGTGCAACAAATGGAGGTAAGTTAAGAGAAAGATATAAAAATGAGTTCTTTTTTTTTTTTTTTTGGCTATATTCATTATATTATGTGAACTAGGTGAATAACATGTGTGTTTGAGGTGTGCAGCCACAAGTGGAGGTGTTTCAAATAGATGGGAATGAATTGTTTGTGAAGGTATTGTGTGAGCATAAGCATGGTGGATTTATGAGGCTAGTGGAGAGTTTAAGTTTAATGGGATTTGAAGTGATCAGTGTTAATGCAGCAAGGCACAGGTGCCTGGTTTCAAGTGTCTTCATGTTAGAGGTAATGCAAATAGAAAAACAATGTAAAGTTGAGCCAATATGAAGAAAATTCATATCCATAATTTCCTTGTAATGGAAAAAAAAAAAATGAAAATTGAAATAAAAAAAATAATTGAACATAGTATTTCACATATTTAAGAACTTAATACATCATTCTCAATATTTTTACACTAAAACTTGGTTGCATTTGTCAAGATTCTAGTGTAAAATTGCTTCTGAATTATACCCACAACATCTCTCTATAAATAATAAATTGGCTTTGAAACTATAATAGACTGAAAAAAAGTTAATTTAAAAAATCCTAATTTGATCCACATTACATTACATGTTTGCAGAAAAGGGATAGTGAAAGTGTACAACAAGCTGATCAATTAACAGAGTCCCTGCTTGAGCTATCATGAAATCCAACAAGAGAGTTGCCAACTTGCCATGGACTTCAGTTAACAGCAAAGAATTGTACATTGGCATCTGCATATGCCAAATGATGAAATTCTTTCTTATATGCTGTGATTAATCTTTCCACTACAGCTTTTGTTGTTTCCTTTCCAAATTGAAAAAAATAAATAAAAAAAATAATAATAATAAAATAAAACCAACTTCAAATAGATATAAAGGCCAAAAGGTCACAAACTTCAGCAAAATCCAACAATGGTGTGTGAACAACAAAACCGTCCAGCTGAACACATAAACTTTGACACAATCCATAAATGATTAAAAAACACAAACACACACAAATCAGAACTCGTCGTCATCTTCCTCGGCTATAACCTTAGCGAGCTCTTGCTCTTGCTGCAGCCTCTCCCTTCTCTTCTCTGCACTCTCCTTCTCCTTGTGCGAATTTGGCGGGAACCTCAAGGCCCGAACGGCCTCATTGTGCATGTTGAGACAAAAGGCAATCCTCGAGTTGAATGCGGCCTGAGGCTCGTTTGTGGAGTAAATATCGCCTGTCTCCTTGGAAACCATCCAACCGTTAGCCCGATCGAGTGAGGCCTCGATAGCGCCGTCTCGAATGGCCTTGGAGACGATGCTTTCGGCGTCGGCTATGGGGTTCGGAGAGTCGAGCCTCAGCTTGAGTGCCACGTCAGACAAGGAGATTCGCGAGTAGGAGATGCTGATGTTGCGGAGGCCCGTGCGGATGACGTTGTGGCGAAGCCGAACGATCAGGTTCTTGGTTCCATCGGATCCAAATGTCGCGGCGAATTTGTCGGCCACCGATTTGAAGAGCTCCAGGTCACCGATACGGACAGCCTGGTGGGGCCCACGAATTAAAAGAAGGACAAATAAATAATAGTCCATGTCCATAAACTAGGAAAAAGGGAGCCTAAGATTCGAGCTAATTTCCGATCTTAAAAAAAAAAANNNNAAAAAAAAAAAAAAAAAAAAATGAAGAAAAATTAAAGAAGTGAAAGGAGAATTTTCAATACAACCTTAACCTTGTGACAGTTTTTATTTCTCTCGGAACCCTATTGAAAAAAAATCTCTCAGGAACGCTAGAATATTTCAGTCCATTCTTGATGGAACTAAACCCCGGGGGGCGTTTTTGCAGATATTAAAAATGTGAGAATTTACTATTAATATTATTATTTTGGGTAACAATCTCTGACCCAACTTTTTGCCCCTAATAATCAGTTTTTAAAATCTGGATATGTACTAACGCGCCATCATCATCTAATAAGATGAGAATGTATGGTATTTCCTGGTCATCGACAATTGACAAGGATACCACTAATATCTGGCTAACAGTAAGTTGAAAAACACAAAACATTTACAAATAAAAAGTCTAACAGGGTTACTTAGAACATGAGAATACAAGTGAGAAAATTCTCGCAAGGTCCATAGGATATACTCACATTTGTAAGCTCAAAGTAGGGCCGCAGGGCTTTCTCCATCCCTTTCTGCATGAAAACTGTTCTTTCTGGAATTTCACCAAGCAGTAAGCGGACAATCACAGCCCACTTGTTGCACTGAACTCGAAAACCGAGAGCAGATATAGGTGCTTTTCTGGCAGCTTGGAGGAGAGATTCCTTGGCATCAGTGTACTCTAACTGAATTGTCCTAATCTTTCCAAGGTAAAACAGGTACCTACAGAACTGCAGACCATAGACAGGATAAGAACAATTATTAACTATATTATATACACATATATCAAAATAAAAAAAATTAAAATCGCAGAAAAATAATAATAATAATTATATTTAATCCATGATCTTGGATAAAAACGGGGAAACAATAATGACAGTGGATTACAGTTTCTCCATGAAACGAGTCTCAAAGCATTTACATAATCATCCTATTGGGTTAAATTAACAACACTTTTGTAGTGTAAATTCTATAACTATAGCACGTAAAGCTATCTCTAATTAAATGACAAGACAGAATCTCTAATGAAAAGGGCAATGCCTCAGTAGAACATTTGTGAACATGAAAGTAAAGGGAGTAGGCTTTAAGCCTTGCCTGCTGGTTTGAATGAGCCTCAAACCGGGGAGCCTTTGCTCTCAATTTTTCCGCTTGATCATATAAGTTATAGTGGAGGTAGTTCCTCAACAAAAGATTCAAGAGAGTTTCCTGCAACGACATGCAGCCACATCATCAACAACGAAAAGACAAAGCAATATATCGATCAAAAAAAAAAAAAAAAAGGACAAAGCAATAGCCAAATGACAAACTCTTGTAGTCAAATGCCAAACATACCTGCCCCAACTCATCATGGCGCAAGGTTGCAGTCCGGTGCAAAGCAAGAAGATCACTGTCAAGAAATGGTATTTGATGTGCAACCATCAATTATAAGAAAGACACTGTTTGGCAGTAAAAGAAAAGGCACCAACTCAAGTTTAAGGGTTACTCTTAACATAACTAGGCTTACAAACTTCCATCAGTATAAAAACCTCAATATCGCTGCACGATTCAAATAAGCATAGAGATATGCATACCCTCGTATTTCAGCAAGATTGCCAGTGAGTTCGTAGCTTAAGGAGAAGTAGAAGTAGAGCCTGGCTGCTAGGACATCAACTGTTCTTCTATTGACATTCCTCAAACGAGCGATGCCGGCCGAAGAGCAAGCCTTAGCCTGACAATAACGATCATCAATGCATTGCAAATGCAGATATATATATTTGATTCATGATATCAAAGGTGACATAATTTAATGATACAAGCATACCTCATTGTATCTTTTCTGATCAATCAAATAGATCAGAACAAGCAAATAGCAGTAGATCTCGATTTCAGGCAAGGAGTGCTTTGCAGGGGCTTGTGTACCAGAAGTCACGCTATCGACTTCCATATCTTGCTCACCTTCCTATAAAACACCACAATAAGACAGTCTTAGCACAATAATGCATCGGAAGAATTTTCTAAAGAACATTCCATTGGGCAAAGCATCTGAACAAGGAAATACTATGCCAGGAAAAAC